CGTTTGATGAATATGGTTTTATTACTAATTTAAAACGAAATTTTCAGACTGTATTTTTGGGATGTTACATTTATTCTCCAAAATAGACAGACATATGCATATTGATACACAAGAAAATACAAACATACACAAACACTCAAGTACATACCTTCAACAGTGGAAAGTAAAATTAGCCACCATCACCACCGTCTTCCATTATTACCACCGGCTGCCATCACCGTCCGCCACCACCACCTTCAACTGGCTCCGTCTCCACCTAGATTACTTCTGCCACCTTCATCTCCACACAAACACTCTTTCCAAAAACGATCATATTACACATTTCAACATCTCAATGCATCTTCTTCAAAGAAACAACACATAACCATCAGCTTTGATCCTCCATCTTCGTTCACCATCAAACTCATTTTGAAAATCAAATAAAAACATCAAGAACACTTGGAAATATCAAACCCTAAACCGTCAGTTACCCTAATGATCGCTTCTGAGAACATTAAAGTCCCTTATCTTCGATCTCAAAATCAAACCATAAACCCTCTCTTACCCGATTAATTGCTTTTGAAACCCCTAGGGCTCTCTGTCAACAAGCAGGGTAATAATGGTCGGAGAACAAAAAACCCCTTGCCACAATCGAGATCCCCGAGGTGATTTGCGTTCAATCCTAAGGCCTTTGAGAATAATCGCAAAAGTATGCCTCCTAATTTCATCACTTGATTTGAGTACTCGATTTGAATGTCTCTGCAAACCTCCAACAATATCATAGGGATTCCATGATTCACCACCTAAAAATAACTAGGTTTGTCGAGCCTTCACAGATCATCTCCGCCATGGATGCTCTATGGGTCGATTGCAGCGGTTGAGGTTTTGTGGGATGTTTCTGGTGATTGGAAGAAAATGGGAGGGATTTGGCGGATTCCAGCATCTACGGGGCCTTTCACACCGGTTTTTGTTTGGTCGAAGGCTTTGAGCTTCTATGGTCGATCTAGCTTGAGACTACCGAAGTATTGGTGGCAGCCATTTTTATGAAGACGATCTTGTATATCTATTTATGTGTGTGTGAGAGAGAGAGAGAGAGAGGTTGTGGGGTTTATCTTATTTTCTATTTTTCTATAATTATTTAAATACTAAAACAAATAAAAAATGTAAAAAGAAATAATAAAGGCAAAATAGTCTTTTCAACTTTTTCAGGACAAAAAACCCAAAAAAAAACCTTGATTTTAGACATTCCTTACAAGTTTGAAACTTTTTGGACAATTTCCAAAGTTTTTTGAACATCACATGCCAATTTTGCAGTTTTGTAGGTGCATAAAAAAACCCTATATAAAAATATATATATATATAATACAAATGTATTTCACAAAACCTGTCACGGACAAGAAAAAACTGAAGATTACTGTCCATGGCAATTTCCGACGTACCTTAACGGATTCTGATGGTTAGATTTTTCCCGCCAGTTCCGACTCCAAAGAAACCCCATCACATGAATGAACCTCCTAATCAAATCTTTCTGCCAAAGCCGCCGATACTTACAATCCCTTTTTCTTTACAAGAAACTCCTCTCCATTTCAAAACCCGAAATCTCTACGTTCTCTTCAATTCTCAAATCATGTTCTTCTCTGTCATCTCTTGATTCCGGACTCGTGAATCATGGGTACTTGATCAAATGCGGGGTTTTAGATAGTTGTGTTGATGTTGGGAATGATCTACTGTGCATGTATTTGAAGCTTAGAGAATTTCGTGATGCTCATAAGGTGTTCGATGAAATGCCGATGAGAAGCAACAACGATGTGTTTGATCATATGATACATGATCTTGGAAGCAACCACGCGTATGATGATGTAGTGATTGCTTTTGAGAACATGGTCGAGTTTTCTATCTTCCCAAATGTACATTCTCTTTGTCACGTAATCAAAGCTTGTAGCAATTTAAACAGTGTCAAAAAAGGGAATTTTGTACACGATTTCATCAAACAAAATGGGTTCGAAAATCATCTCCTCATAATGAATTCCTTGATATCAATGTACGCCAAAATGGGGAGACTGGATCTTGCTCAAAACGTTTTCAACAATATGATTCATAAAGATATAGTCTCATGGAACTCATTGATTACAGGATACTCACAAAACCAAAACTCTCCCAAAGTCTTTGACCTTTTTAAATCCCTAAAACAAGCCAAAAATCCAATCCCAAATGTTGTCACATTCTTAGCTTTACTTTCAAGTGTCAGAGAAGTTACTATTGGAACAACTATTCACAGCCACTTGATCACTATTGGTTTATACTCCAATCTCCAATTAGGAACTGCTATTTTCAACATGTATGCAAAATGTGAAAGGCTTGATTATGCCCTAATCGTATTTGAACAAATAAACAAGACTTTAGTATCATGGAACACTTTAATTTCAGCCTACAAACAAAAAGGGTATGCACAAGAAGCTGTAGATATCTATGAACACATGTTAATGGAACCCGATATGAAACCAGATTCTTTCTCATTTGCTAATGTGCTTCCTGCTTATGCGAATCTTGGAAACCTTAAAAGAATCAAATCGATCCATTCAATGATTATCAAACAGGGTGTAAACATAGGTCAAGATGTTGTTTTATGTACTTCAATCTTGGATGCATATGGAAAGTGTTCAGATGTGAAAGCAGCCGAGTTTTTATTTTTATTCCATTGCATTCAGAAACCAAATACTGCATCATGGAATGCAATGATTTCTGTATATAATACGAACAACAAAATCAAGAACTCAATGGTTGTTTTTCAAGAAATGATTTGTAGTAAAGTGTTAATGGATTGTATAACAATGGTGACAATCTTTCAATCATGTGGACAAATGGGATTACTAAAAGAAGGTAATATGATCCATAAATTTAGTCTCATGAAAGGGTTTTGTTCGTATCTTATTGTTGGGAATGCTTTGATAGATATGTATATGAGATGTGGAAGCATAAAAAACGCTGAAATTTTCTTTGATTTGATGTCTTTAAGGAATATTGTGACATGGAATACTATGATTTATGGTTATATGAAAGGTGGATGTTTTTCCATGGGTGTTAGATTCTTTCATCATATGCAATTAGAGTATAAGCCGGATTCTGTAACGATTATTTCTTTACTTCAGGGTAACTCGGGTAGTTTTCTTGAGATGTTTCATGGTTATATATTGAAACTTGGGTTGGATTTTGAGACACAAATTATCAACATTTTGATTGATTCATATGCAAAGATTGGAAATGTAGAGAAGGCTCAAGAATTGTTTGAAAGAAATGATTTCAAACGAGATCAAACCTCATGGAACATAATGATTGCAGGTTTGACTTTTATTATTATTGTTATTGTTTTTTATTGTTAGGTCTAAATGTAAGAAATAACAACATTTTTTTAGAAGTATAATATCCTAGTAAGAAAAGAAAAAAAAAAAGTCAAATTACAATGCTATAATTAGATAGAGATTCCAAAGTATAATGTCCTCATAAGAATAAAAAATGAAAGTGGAATGTCATAATTGGGTAAATTTTTTAAATTACAATGTCTTGATAAGAAACAAAAAAAAAACTATAAGTACAATGTTGTAATCAAAAGAAATGAAAGTAGGATGTTGTAATACACAAATAAATGAAAGTATATTTCTATTTCTTACATTTAGCATTTTTTTCCCTCAATAGGACATTATACTTTGAAAAATCCACCCAACTATAGCAGTAAATATTTACGTTGCTATCATAAACTAGATTTTTTCAATATACAACGTTTTTTTTACAATGTTGCAATAGAAAGAAATGAAAAATGTCATTGTAACACAATAAACTTATTTCTATGACTCGATTTGGTCACTAAAGTAATTTTTTTTTGCACAATAGGTCATTAAACTTACAACTTACCTATCTATTAAGTCACTTTTGTTAGTTTTTACCAGATCTCCCGTTAACCAGTTATTCTAAATTACACGAATGGTCCGTATGGTTTCAAGTTCTTTCGTGTTTGGTCCAGATCGTCGGGAAATTTGTGTTTTTTTCATTTTACTCTTATTGTTATTCTTACTCCAACTTTTACTATTCAATGATTGCAGCATATGGAATGAATGGTCAAGGGATCGAATCTTGTAAACTTTTCACCAAAATGCACGAAAACGAATACAGACCGGATACAATTACATTCACCTCTCTCCTCTCAGCTTGCAGTCACTGCGGGCTAATTGAAGAGGGGTGTAAGTTTTTTGACCTAATGGTCACTAAATACAAGATTCAACCAAGCATGGAACATTTGACTTGCATTATAGACATGTTAGGACGCGCTAATAGTTTAAAGGAAGCGTATGATTTAATGAAAAATATGAATTATCAAAAACCCGTATTGGGAGCTCTCTTGAGTGCGTGTAGAACTAACATGAACATGGAGGTTGGGGAGCTTGTGGGGAGGAAATTGTTGGAAATGGAGTCGGATAGTTTTGAGTATCACTCATTGCTTTCGAATTTGTACTCGTTAAATGATAAATGGGATGAAGTAGTGGAAATTCGGAGGGTTTTTGGAAATGGGAAAGTGGTGAAGAAGTTGGGGTTGAGTAGTTTGAATAGTTGATGGAATTGTGAAATTGTAGAAGTTATTGTAAAAAGTTGATCGGATTCTTCGTATAGATTTTCGAATTTTTCAAAAACATATCGACTTGTTCTTCAAAACCAGCTTGACATGAAATATAGTAGCACGAGAAAGTAGAAAAGCAGAGTGTACTTTCATCATTTTATCAATTTAGTTGTTAATTTTTATCGATTTGAAAACTAAACAACTTTTTCCGATTTAATCACCGAAGTATTATTATATTAAGAGTAAAATACAAATTTGGTCCCTGTGCTTCACTCAAAAACTCAAGTTTAGTCCAAAATTTGAAATTGTTCCGATGACATCCTTAATTTTGCATTCCGTTGCATATATGGTCCTATACTTTACTCAAGATTGCAAGTTTGGTCCAAATTTTGAAGTCGTTTTATAGGGACCAGTATTTGCAACAAAATGCAAACTTAAGGATGACACTCGGACAATTATAAATAGTAGATTGAACTTGTGATTTTAGGTCAAATGCAAGGGCCTAATTTCTAATTTACTCTTATATTAATCATAAAATTTAGTCTCTGATTAAATCTCTCATAACCTAGTGACCTATAAAAATGTTTTTTTTTTTTTATAACCAAGAAATAGTTAAGTGATTAAATCAATAAAATATAGAATATATGCTATGAATTTATGTAATTTTCCCTTACTAGTTACTTAAGTTGTGGTCTTCTTTTCGAAAATTCACAAATTTCGAAATCAAAAAATAACCACATGCCATGTAGGACTAAGCAATATATTGATAAATTTCTTAAAAGAATACTAGAAATAATTTTCAAAATCGAGTAATGAAAACTTTGTAGTCTATATAAAACAGACAATAAGGTCAGTACTTTGGATAATTGGAATAAATGAATTGGACTTTATATGAAAAGATGATTGGTTTAATTGATAATTGTAATTAGTTGGACGGCTAATTAAATTAGAGAAGAATCTAAATAGTTGCTGTAAGCTACAAGATAAAAATATTCTATCTTAATTAATAAACTCAAATGAAAAAAATAAATTATACTTTATGAAACTTATGCTTGTTCCATCTTTATCTAATTCAAAACTATTCAAATTACTTTTTATGATCATTAATATCTAGACTTGTTTTGAATTTTTGTAAACCTTGAATTTGATTTAATTTTTGCATTTTTATCGACTCAGTTTTCACATGTAACTTGATGCATGTGAACCTGTTAACTAGATAATAACAAAATATTATGTCATTTAGTAATAAAATAAAATACAACTAGTGGGGATGCTGACGTGTTGTGGTGAGTTTATTAATCTTATATTTGTATGCAATTTCTATGATAATATGTTACATATAAATCATTTCTATAATTTCGTTATTACACATGGTCCCAAAATAGAATTTTGTCTTACACATGGACCGTTTTTATATTACACGTTGAGTGTAATTTTTTTATATATGGATCGTTTTTATAATTTTGTTATTATACATGAACAATTTCTATAATTTCGATATTACACGATGACTATTTTGTAATTTGCTATTATTTGTAATATTGATGGCTTTTTTATATGGTATTTTGCATAGGTCATGTCTTAAATTTCACTATGCAGGGCTAGAGATCATTTTTGTAATATTATTATTACATAGGGACTATTTATGAGTATTTCTTACAGGACCATTTATGTAAATTTTTAATTTCTTAACTTTTAAAATCTTTTAGGGACCATTTCTGTAAATCTTAGTTTTTTCCAAGGACCATTTTATAACTTAGTAATCAAGGTATTTTTGTAAATTTTCAAAAAGTGGTAGCCTCTTTCTTATTTTTTCTGTATTTACATATATTTATTATGAGAAACAATTTTTATTGCATTGATAAAGAGGTAAAACTGCGTAAATAAGCTTTTAATTTAACTAATGAATAGAAGAAGACCCAACAACAAATGACAACCGAAAGCGAACGAAGAAGACGCAACAAATGACAACTGAAAGCGAACCACTTCGTTCTTCTCTGAAAATCCAAAATGGATTCTTCCTTTTCCCTGGCCGGCCACCACCGCATAAATACATCACTTCCATCATCTCCACCACCCGCTTTTATTCTTACTCATCAGAAACATAACTTCTCTCACTCCAAATGCGTACTTCTTCTACTCTCTCAAGTAAACCTCGATTTGATTCTTCTTCTATCTTCCCCAGAATTCAGTCCCCGGATATTATCTTACCTGCCAGTGTAGCTGTCAATAGGATGAATTCGGGACAAAATAGGTTTCGTGGAGTTGGAGTTGTTCATTCGAGCAGTGAAGTGGTAGCCATTGATGATCGGGAAGTGGAGGGAGTTGGTGAGAAGAAGAGAGAAAAATCGAGGGTTTTAAAAGTCGGGTTAATTTGCGGAGGGCCATCTGCTGAGCGAGGGATTTCGCTTAATTCCGCGAGATCAGTGCTTGATCATATTCAGGTATGAATATTGGTAAACTAATTCAATCAGCTCAATTAGTGAATCTGTGTTTCTCATTTCAGAATTCAAATTACTTTCTATGATTTCCCGTAACTGCAACGATTGAAAATTTACTGCGTTCCTTGTCAACCTCCATATGCTTTTATGTTCATGAACTATCAGATTCTTACAGATAAATCTTGCCATGGAATCTTCCAACTCTTGTGTTTACACGAGGTTCATGCCATGGCTCAATATCTTAAGGAAACAGACAAAGTTTAATATCAGAAACCATTTGGAAATCAGTTGCTCTATTATCAAGGACACATCTTTTTATGATACATGAATATTCCCTTTTGACATTCAATCACCACAATACCTAGGAAGCATTTGAGACTTCCTAGACCTTTCTTCTAAAATTATTATTGAATGAATAACTTCAAATCTGTACTCTTCTAAATCAATGGGGTATGCATATCATATGCATAGAAGACTAATTTGATTCTCATGCTTCTTATTACAGAAAAAATATATAGGAATGATTATGTGCTCTCATATGAGAGTTATCCTTAGTTACTAGACAAGCTCTAAGATATGACCAATTTACATCCAACAATGTCTTTCATAATGAAAGGATCAACAAGACTCCAAAATCTCATTGCTGTGTATCACAAACATTTCCTATGCATTCTTTTCTCCTATTACCATTAGGATGAGCTAGAATCTTTGGTACTTTTGGAGGAATAAGATAACTACTCTTAGCTAATACAAAGGCATAATGACTCAAGAAAAGATGAGGGTAGATACATCCATAAAAATGGATTAACACATGTGATAAATAGGCTAACCAAAACACATGTTCTTAGATTTCTTTGAGCACACGATACGGAAAAAAGATACCAAAAAAAACTGACTAAAAAAGGAAGGGGTATAATTGGAAAGCTTTATGTAAAACCAAGGGGGTAAAATACTAAACATAATACATATTTTTTGTTATGTGTTTATAGTTGATTAAGTTTAATATATTGAAATGAGTAAGGGTATATAACAGAAACCGAAAAAGGAAGGGGTATAATTGGAAAGTTTTATGCAAAACCAAGGGGGTAAAATGAAACTTGAAATTGAATTTAAATGATGCATGAAGTTGGGTTTAAAAAAACTTGGACCACTCATGCCAGTTGACTTTGAACCTGGACTCTGCTATACTATTTATTAACATCAAATTTGGTGTTAAAGTTTCCTTTGTACAAATTAGTCCTTCAACTTTGAATTTATGCATTTTTAGTTTCTTATTTGTATAATAATATTCTGTATGTACTATTTGTATCTTGTGATGTTATATCATAAATTAAATTGACATTAATTCATTATGTATATTAAATATAATTTTTATGCATCAAACTTATTTAAACTTTTATACTTATACATATACATACATATTCAGATTTTGTGTGTTTTGTTTGTATCAGGGGGATGACCTTCATGTTAGCTGCTATTACATTGATCCCAATCTCAATGCATATGCAATATCATCTGCCCAGGTTTGACAGTTTATTTTACTTGTTTGACGAATAATAAAATGCCTAAAATGCCCTCCAATAACGACAACTTAATGGAATCTTGTGGACCAAAATGAATAGCTTCAATAAGTAGCAATGATTGCAATGTGTAAATACATAACTTTAGCTTTAATGTTGTATTTTATGCAACAAATTTACACTTTTCTTAACAATCTATGCAACTGACACGAATTATGGTCCTAAAATGAAATCTTGTTGCATAATTCGTATAAAAACAATTTTGTTGAATAAATTGGCAAAAAAGTGAAATGTTGTTGTATAAATATGCATTTTAACCCTTTGTAAAAGTACACTTTCTAACAAGTTCCTGTCATTAGTTTATTGCTTCATCATCATATAGAGTCACCTACATTCTTTTTAAGCTAAACAGAAAAATGAAATTGTTAATTCATTTATAACCCTTTTGTTCCCAATCTATTTTCTGTTTTGCAGGTTTATTCAAATACTCCTGCTGATTTTGACTTCAAACTTGAGAGGTAAATAAATTTCAGTGAGAATTTCAATTTCTCTATTTCAAATTTCATTCTTTAGGGTACACTGAAGTTTCATAACACAACAATAAAAATATAAATCATGAAGATATTTGATAAAGTTTCACAATATAATTCTAAGACTTCACATCAAACAACACATTACACAACTAACTTAGAGTTCAATGGAAACTAGAAATATCTTAAATAATTAATCAAGTAAGGAATTTACATATGTTACAAAAACAGGATTGTATTAACTATTAAAATAACTAACCTTAAAATTTCATTTTTTATTTTTTAAAAATTGCCAGCCTGGCACAAGGATTCGAGACTTTGACTGACTTTGCAGAACACCTGGCTGCTTATGTGGACATAGTTTTCCCTGTTATACATGGTCGATTTGGTGAAGATGGAGGCATTCAGGTTAAAAGTTAAAACCATTTTTGCTAAAAATTTTATCATATAAAAATTAGAAACATTTTTTTGTTGTTATAAACTTTTAATAATATTCATCATTGACTCTTCAGGAGCTTCTAGAAAAATCAAATGTTCCATTTATTGGCACAAGATCAAAAGAATGTCGAACTGCATTTGACAAGGTAATATTATTTTTCAAAAGTTTGAATGCAAGAAATAGCAATGTACTTTCATTTATTTTTTATTTTTTATTACTATTATACCATTTACTTTGAAAAAACTATCCAATTGTAGCATATTTTTTACTATTAAAGTATAATGTCAATGTCTAAATAATAGAAATAAATGAAAATTGAAAGCACAAATAATAGAAATAAATGAACTTTATATATTATGATGATTGGTGCTCATTTTTTTTTTGTTCCATTTTCATTTGCAGTATGATGCTTCCTTGGAGCTTAAGAGACAAGGATTCATAACAGTTCCCAATTTTGTACTTCAGGTATTTTTCCTTGAATTCAATAATCATTATTAGCTTTCTCATTTATGCTTTCTTAGTTTCCCTTTTTTCATTTCCTTTTCTCTCAAATGTTAAAGCTATTTATTAATCTTGATCCACAAAACTTCATCACTTTCTCTATATTTTTTGAATATCTTACACATTTGACCAATAGTCAAAAGTCAAAACACTTCCCATAAACTATATTTCAAGTCAAATGTTGCAATTTTAATGAGGTCACAATGATATATGTTTATAGCTTTATAACCTCAACACCATATGGAAGAAAAGAATCCAATGTTTTCACTTAAGATATTATGAAAAGTGAAAACATTTTTTTTTTTCAGGGAAATGAATTGGATGAATCTGGTTTATCAAGATGGTTTTCCAACAATCAACTAGATGCTAACTCAGGGAAAGTTGTGGTATATATTTATTATCCCTTCACTTTATTTTTTAATACAAGGAGGGCATTTATGTCTTTTTCACATACAAGAGATGAATATTTATTTACTCAGGTGAAACCAACAAGAGCAGGATCAAGTATTGGAGTTACAGTTGCATATGGTGTTAATGATTCCCTAACCAAAGTTAAAGAAATCATGTCTGAGGTTCTTTTCATCTTTTACACCATGGTTTCTCTTCCATTTCTCTTTAAGTTAAAAACTTATTCCTTAAGTTTTTATTTCTTCTACTTTTAAGGGGATTGATGATAAAGTTATAGTTGAAATTTTTCTTGGAGGAGGAAAAGAATTTACAGCAATTGTTCTTGATGTTGGTTCTGATTCTATCCAACAACCAGTTGTTTTTCTTCCAACTGAGGTAAATTTTTAGTTGTTATTCTCCATTTTGTGGGTCCCATTTTCATTTATAACATAATATCTAATCAGGTGGAACTTCAAACAAGCAACAATGGTGACATAAGTGAGAAAGATGCAATATTTAACTACAGGAGGAAGTATCTTCCCACTCAACAGGTAGTAATTCTTTTTAACTATATATCTTCTTGTTTCCACAAAAGGGTAAATTTAAATTTAAATTACACCAAATTATACTTTTTTTTTTCTTCAGGTTGTTTATCACACTCCACCTCGTTTTCCATTAGATGTAATTAACAAAATTCGAGAAGGAGCTTCTATTTTATTCAAAAAGCTTGGTTTAAGGGATTTTGCAAGAATTGATGGTTGGTTTTTACCTCCTTCTGCCATGTCAGCATCTGAAGCAAATGATTTTGGGAAAACAGAATCAGGAACTGTTATATTTACTGATATTAACTTGGTAGCAATTTTATTTATTCCTTTTTGTAACTAGTGTAACTTTTTGCTCTATTATATTAACATATCATTGTTTATTATATTTTTTTTAGATTAGTGGAATGGAGCAAACAAGTTTCCTATTTCAACAAGCTTCAAAGGTAACTATTTTTTGTTATTCAAAATTTTCTTTCACTATGCTTCTAATAACATAGAATTTTTGTTGTTTTCTAGGTTGGATTTTCACACTCCAATATCCTCAGAACAATCATCCATCATGCTTGTATTCAGTTCCCAAATCTTGCTTCATTTTGTAATAAATCATCATCAAGAACATCAAAGTCTTCAAAACATGAAGGTTTACAAAAGGTGTTTGTGATATTTGGTGGAGATACTTCTGAACGCCAGGTGTCACTTATGAGTGGGACTAATGTTTGGCTTAATCTTCAAGTATCTGGTGATGTGAGCTTTTTCTTCTTTACACCTTTTATTTCATGGTTTAAACTTTAAAACATAAACACTTGTGGGCCCCACATAATTTGTAATATAATTAAATCATTTTGGTTGGTTTTCACTTTTCAGCTTGAAGTAACTCCTTGTTTGCTTGCTCCTGGAAATGATGATTCATCAGAGGTGATTGATGTTGGCTCAAGGGCAGTTTGGTCATTACCGTAAGTGGAGTTGGATATTATATAACATATTTTTATGTCTTATAAAATACAAATCAATGCACTCTAAAGCTAATTCTTGCTATTAAAAAGGTAATTATGCAACAATGTTTCATGTTTTTAGAAATAAAATGGTTTTGTTTTTTATCCATATAGTTACTCTCTTGTTCTGAGACATACAACAGAAGAAGTTGTTGATGCATGCACAGAGGCACTTGATCCTACACGTGCTGAATTGACTTCCAAATTGAGAAAAAAAGTGATGGATGAAATAGAAAATGGTTTAAAGAAACATAATTGGTTCACAGGTTTTGATATATCAGATCAACAACCAATCAAATTCACACTAAATAAATGGATAAAGTTAGCCAAACAAGTTCAAGCAACTGTTTTCATTGCAGGTTTGCACATTTTTCATTTTTCACCTCCTGATTAATTCTTTTTGGATAATGCATAATATAACTATAAAGTTAACAAATATGTGGAAAGTTTTAGATAAATTGAGTCAAATATAAGTAATTTGTCATATACTTATAAATGGATAATTGGATCAAAATTTCAATGTACAATGTTCAAAGTAACTGAGTAGATTTTTCAAAGTACAATGTTTTTTTAATAAGAAAAAAAAGGGTTAATCTCATAAAAGACCTTATATTTTGTATTTTTTCTGGATTAAACCGAAAATCTATTTTTTGCCTGAAAAAGACTTTGTATTTTTTTTCATTTTTTCCGATCTGGCCCTTTTAGTCATTTTTCCAAATAAACTGTAAAATGTGAGGGTTTTTTTTCGAGAAAAACTAAAAAAGTTGAGGGGTTTTTTCGGAAAAATAGACAAAGTTGAGGGTTTTTTCGGAAAAATAAAAAGAATACAAGGTATTTTTTAGGAAAAGAATAAAGTTGAGGTTTAATCCTGAAAAAACACAAAATGTAAGGTCTTTTATGAGATTAACACTTCTCGAAAAAACCCTCACATTTTACAATTTTTTTTTTGGAAAAAAATAACTAAAAAGGGCCAGATCGGAAAAACTGAAAAAAAAATATAAGGTCTTTTTCAGGAAAAAAACAAATTTGAGGTTTAATCCGGAGAAAAACACAAAATATAACGTCTTTTATGAGATTAAAACTGAAAATATAATGTAATAGTAAAAAAAAAACCAAAATTAAGATGCTATAAATATAATAAACAAATAAACATAAGTACATTGCTATTTCCACATTTTGATTTTCATTCATGTGATGACATGGACAACAACAGTGCATGGAGGCATAGGTGAAGATGGAACACTTCAGTCATTGCTGGAAGCTGAAAAAGTACCTTATACAGGTGGCATTTAATATTTTTAACCAATATTAAAAAAAAAAAAAAAAAGAAAGTTACATTTTTAATTTTTTATTCAGTTGAATTCATTTATTTATACAGGTCCTGGATTTTCAGCTTCAAAGATATGTATGGACAAAGTTGCAACTTCTCTCTCAGTTAATCATGTATGTCACAAGTTCACAGACAAAATTGTAATTTTGTTTTTCTCTTGTATGTGAAAAAGACGTAAATACCCTCGTCCTCATTGTGAACAGCTTACTAGCTTTGGGGTTCTTACTATAAATAAAGATGTTAGGAGAAAAGAGGATCTTTTGAATTCATGTTGTTGTGATGTTTGGGGTGAAGTGACATCAAAGCTGAAATGTGAAACTTTGTGTATTAAACCAGCAAGAGATGGATGCTCCACTGGAGTTGCAAGAATCTGGTAAGTATAAAAATATAAATGCAAGAAACAGCAACGTACTTTTAGTTTTATTTATTTGTTTATTTTATTTTATAGCATCCTACTTTCATTTCTTTTTTAGGGTTAATATCATAAAAGACCTTATATATTGTTTTTTTTTTACTGAAAAAGTCCTTGTATTTTTTTATTTTTTTGGAAAAAAAAACCTTAACTTTTTTTTTTTTACGGAAAAGCCCACAAGTTTTTTCATAAAGAAGGGTTAATCTTATAAAAGACATTATATTTTGTGTTTTTTCCGGATTAAAAGTCAAACTTTATTTTTTTCTTGAAAAAGACCTTGTACTTTTTCATTTTTTCATTTTTCCGATCAGGCCCTTTTAGTCATATTTTTCCGAAAAGACTTGTAAACGTAAGGGTTTTTTTGGAAAAAAAAAATTAAAAAAGTTGAGGGTTTCTTTTTGGAAAAAAATGAAAAAGATAAAATTGAGGGGTTTTTTCAGTAAAGATCAAAAAATAGGTCTTTTTCAGAAAAGAAAAAATAAAAGTTGAGGTTCGATCTGGAAAAAGAATACAAAATATAAGGTCTTTTATGAGATTAACCCTAAAAAAACTGCTAATAGGGACAAATCGAAAAAAATGGAAAAATGTAAGGTCTTTTTTAGAAAATAAAATAAAAATGAGGTTTAATCCTGAAAAAAAAAACACAATATATAAGGTCTTTTATCTGATATTAACCTTTCTTTATTTACTACAGTATTTCCAAATACATTGCACTTTGAAAAAACTACATAGTTATACTACCATTTTACTTTCAAATTTATGTTATTAGGGCATCGTTTGTTGAAATATCTCCCCAATTACAGCAGTTAAAATTTACTATAATTGGGTATATTTGTCAAATTACAATAATAAACAATTTCTTTTCTTCTTTTTGAATACTCAGCTGTGCTAGTGACCTTGGTGTTTATGTAAAAGCATTAGAAGATTGTCTTCCTCGAATTCCTCCAAATAGTTTGAATAAGGTACATGTAAATATATATCATATAAGTTTCCAAAATTGAAATGATTTTAATTTATAAATGTTTGTTATTAACTTTCGATAGGCACATGGTGTGATTGAGATGCCAGTTCCTCCACCCGAGTTTTTAATCTTTGAACCTTTTATTGAAACCGATGAAATTACAATTATACCCAAATCAAAAAACAAAAACGAAGGGCTTTTATGGAAAGGAAAAAGTCGATGGGTTGAAATAACAGTTGGAGTAATTGGGAAACGAGGCTCCATGCGTTCTTTAATGCCTAGTGTCACTGTTAAAGAAAGTGGCGACATATTATCACTTGAAGAGAAATTTCAAGGTACTGAATGCAAAGGTCAAATATGTAATTTCACTTTTCATAAAGGGTAAAGCAAGAAATAGAATTTACTTTCGTCTCTTTTAATGTATCAAGCAATTAATTCCTTGCAGGTGGAACAGGGATTAATCTTACCCCACCCCCACTCTCAATAATGAGGTTACTTATATATATATATATATATATATATATTATATATAATTAATTTATTTATCTATTATTTATTTATTTATTTATTTTCTTGATTTATTTAATTACTCTTGAATTTAGCACCGAGGCATTGATGAAATGTAAAGAACGCATTGAGCTTATAGCCAACACCTTAGAGCTTGAAGGATTTTCTCGTATTGATGCATTTGTTAATGTTGATAACGGCGAGGTAAAATTACCTATTTACCCTTGGGCTTAGGTGGTTGTGATTTTAAGATCTAAATGCATGCAACTTATTGTTATGAGTGTAGGTTTTAGTTATTGAAGTGAATACTGTTCCCGGAATGACGCCTTCAACTGTCTTGATTCATCAGGTATTTATTATTATTTCCAATCCAAATCTCATGAAAATTTCACAAGATGTATTTTTGTGATTATTGAATTTTTGAAAGGGTGTTTTGGTAATTTTAACATTGTGAAATGTTGTAGGCGCTTGCAGAGGAGCCTCCGGTGTACCCTCATGTGTTTTTCCGTACACTATTGGATTTGGGTTCCGAAAGATTCATGTAAATGTAAATCTCAAGAGAATTCTTGCAAGTTGATACTTTGTTAAACACATTAAATATTTAATGTTTATGTTTTCTATATTTATTTATGTAATTTTCATAAACATGCTTCCACAATTCAGTAAAGGGATGATTCAACATGTTAATGTCATAAATGGGTGATGAACTATTTTTTTTTTCATAAAATATTATTAAAAAATAAAGGTGTATTGTGAACGCAAAGTTCCCAATTGCTTACCTTCTCATACTACTTTTTTGTTATTATTAGTATTATTTTTTAAAAAATGGTGTTTTGTGAAAAACAAAAGAGTTCATTACCCATTTTTGGCGTTAACCTTGTTTTTAAAGGTTGTTTATGATGATGAGAGTTTTTGTCTCACATTGTTTTATCTTTGGGTTAGACAAAAAAATTGTTAGTTTATCTTATTGACCATTATATTCTAAGGTTATTTTCAGTGTGGAGGGCATTATTGTCTTTATGCAAGAACATGTTTCTTTCCACTTGTTTCATCTAGTTGGATATGTGATAAAAAAAAATTAATTTTTGTCCTCTTGACATTAATCATATTCTATGCATGTCAAAAACAGTATGAATTATAAAATATTCATATTTTGTTTTGACTAACAATCTTTCTCGGTTTTTTTTTTTTTTATAAAGAGGGTGAGTTTTTATTTATTTATGTATTTTACACATTCTTAGTTGTTCCATTTTTTTGGGTTGGACAAAAATTATAATTGTCATATTGGTAGTAATCAAGTACATATCAAATGAATATAAAATATAAAATTAACATATTTTATTCCATTTTATTATTCCATTAATCATAAACAAGAATGAATGTTTATGATTAATGACATAATGTTAGTAGTTTCTATGTTTGTAGCTCCATCGGAAGTGTTGGTTGGTGATAATCATGAAGCTAAATGTCCCAATAATCATCGATATATGCATCATGTGCATCAATAATTAATCACCTTATATATTAATAAAGTCACTAACATAATTAAAATGATAAGTCAATAGATTAATCAACAACTCTATAATCAGGTTTAAAATGATCAAATACATATGTAATTTTGTGATTTTATAATAGAACATCTCATCTTTTTTACTGAGTATTGTATGGGTCTCGGGTTTTTTTGGATCAACAAAGTTGATGTGAAATTTACTCTCGTCCCTCGTTTTAGTAAAAAATAACAATTTAATATAACAACTTAATTATTTTTGGATGCTACATGAAAACATATAAAGAAAATGTATATAAAATACTAAAAAATGATAAGTTGATAAATCAATAAATTAATCAACTAGTTGTGAGACCTATGTACTACATGAGTTTATTCAAAAAAATAAAAATAAATATGAAAATCTGAAAATTTAGAAAGTTTGAATTTATAAAGAAAAAGAGAGAAAAATATTTAACTATTAAAATTGAAATGCTCATTTCTCATTTAAATTTAAACAAATAATTGAAATAAATAAACAATTAAAATAATTAGATTCAATGTAGAAATTTAGAAATTATAAGTAAAGTTGCATTAATTAAAATTGATATGCATTTATTACTATATTTACTACATTTAAATATTATATGGACACGCGTCGCCGTTTTGCTCACTATTCTTGTAGTGTATGGATATAATTTAATCTAAAATTATCACAAAATAACATGTGGTATAATGAATGAGAGCATGACAAGTGTCATAAATGATTTTTATTTATTAGAGTAAAATAATATTTACAATAAGGTTTACCCTGATCAACTTGGCATGCAATTTTTCCATTTTTATTATAAAACAACTCACATTGTTTGCAGGATATTATGTTAGTCCGATGTTTTTTTAGGTCAACAAAGTTGATATGAAATTTACTTTTGTTTGTTGTTATTGAAAATATAACAATTCAATGTATAACAAACTAACTATTGTTTAATATTTTGTGTATGTTACATAAAAAGATTAAAAAAAATGTATGTAAGATACTAAAAAGGATAAGTTGATGATCAATAAATTAATCAACAACATTACAATAAGGTTTGGAATGATCAACTTCGCATGCAATTTTGTCATTTTTATTATAGAAAAAGCTCATGTGGTTTGCAAGGTATTGTGTCTGAGAAAAAAAAATTTCTGGATCAACAAAAGTTGATGTGAAGTTACTCTCGTCCCTTGTTATCGCAAATATAACAATGCAACGTAACAAACTAAATATTGTTTAATATCCCGTTTATATGTTACATGAAAAGATGAGAAAATGTATGTGAAAGTTACTCTAGTCCCTCATTATCGCAAATATAATAATTCAATGTAACCAACTAGCTATTGTTGCCTATTTTTATGTTACATAAAAAATATTAAAATGTGTATACAAAATACTAAAAAATGATAAGTTGATAAATTAATAAATTAATCAACAACATAATAATAAGGCAACTTCACGTACAATTTTGCCATTTTTATTATTGAATAGTTCCGCGGTTTGTAGAATATTATATGGGTTCAAGATTTTTCTAGATCAACAAAGTTAAAGTAAAATTTATTTTTATAAAAATATATAAAGATAAAAAAAAATAATAATTCAATATAACAAACTGACTATGTATGTTCCATACAAAGATTAAAAAAATTGTATATAAAATACTAAAAAGGATAAGTTTATCACTTGGGTAAGTTTTACATAAAATGTTTAAAATGGTAGTCCCCTACTTTCCTACCACTCTCATGATATTTTCTATGACTTGATCCATTTCACATACATATATTTCTTATGTATTGGTAATTAAATTATTACCTCTAGTCCTTGATAAAGTTGCATTTTATGAATTTTGCATTGCATCATTTGCCATCTTTTAAACATTTGCACGTTATTTGTGTAGGAGATTAAATTAAGGGGATAAGATTCCTAAGGGATTTAAGCTTTTCAAAAAGTTGCACAAAAAGAGGTAAAGGCAACGAATAAAGAAAATACATAAAACACAAGCAAATAATATAGATAATAATGCATAAATAGATACAAATAGCAGACGTACTTAAGATTCCAACTAAGAAAAACGAATTTTGGTATGATAGTAGCATTCAACAATATGCGATGTCTAAAAGACATAATTTTTTCTGATACGAGAGGATACAACTATCAGCCAAATATAAACTTGAATAAAATATTTAAATAAAATGTCTTCATGATGAAGCAAAGGAAAAACATGAATAAGAAATTAGAATATGGAGTGAATTATGTTAACCCAAAATCTGTAAAATGAAGTGGTATTTGTAAGCTCTTATTGACAGTATATTGTTATAACCCAAAATCTGAATTAATTAATTAAAATTTAAGTTCAAAATTAAATTAAAAATATATTAATCACCTCTACGGTGAATTGACGTGCATCGGTATGTTATAGTTGATATGGAATATGATTTCCTTTTAGTATTAACGTTTGGGATTGGATATGAAAACAAGTTTATATGAAATGCAATATAGTAACACATGTTCTATTTCAGTAGATTTATATTAGCAAAGAACCTTTTGTTGCTAATTCCCCTTTCTCCTGTAAATACATAATTAACTATCATTTTATTTTAACATTCTATTCATTTCGCCTTCAATATTTTAAATATATTATCACATACTGTTGAGAGAAAAACTTTGAGACACACTTGAACAAACGTTAGAACAAGTAGTAATGCGGAATAGTTA